TGGTGAAACAAGTACACAATTGTAAATTGCATCTATATGCAGATCATACTGTGCTATATTTTTCTAATAAAAATTTTGACATTGTTGAAAAAAAATATTGTAAATTGCATCTATATGCAGATCATACTGTGCTATATTTTTCTAATAAAAATGTTGATATTGTTGAAAAAAAAAATTAATTTCGATTTACGTAAAATACATAGCTGGCTTTGCTGTAATAAACTCAGTCTTAACGTTGACAAAACCATTTGTATGTTATTTGAAACTGGTACAATGCTATCGAAATGTAATATCTTAAATGTAAATATATGTGGTAAACGTATTGTTCAAAGTAATACTGTGAAATATCTTGGAATGCATCTTGATACCAAGTTAAAATGGGATATTCATATTGACGAAATGTGTGGAAAAATAAGTAAAGTTGTAAGTTTTTTAGCTTGTCTTCAACATTTTATTTCGGAATCCTATCTGAAGATGGTATATAATTCAATCATTCTTCCACTTTTCGATTATGCAGATATTGTTTATGATTCGGCGAGCAAGAAACACACTGACCGCCTCCAAAAATTACAAAACAGAGCCGGTCGTATCATTTTGAAAATTAATCCTTATAACCATGTTTCAAATAACGATATTCATGTTAAATTAGGGTGGAAATCTCTCCATTCAAGACGTAAATTGCATTTAGATATAATGGTCTATAAATCCCTGAACAATTTGGCTCCTCCTTATTTAGAGGAGTCTTTCAAATACTGTAACTATCCATATTCGCTACGATCACAAGGAAAATATTAAACTCCCCAAACCAAAGAGTGAATGCTGCCGTAAATGTTTGTGTATAAAGGAGCACGTGAGTACAATGCCCTACCGTTAAGTATTAAGCTATTCAACAATTTAAGAACTTTTTGCAAATATCTAAATTTAAGAAATCAGTTTTGCTCTGATCTGTAATGGAACATGATTGGGATGGGGGGGGGGGCGTTTATGCTTCTCTGATATGTTTTAGGTTTAATATGTATTTAAGTTATATTATTTTATGTTGTATTGTATGTTGTATAATAACTGTTGATATCTTAATTCCTGGACCCCAAAGAAGAACAGCTTTGTTATATTAACAAAGCTGAATGGGCTATCCAGCCATTCACTATATTATTGATTTTTACTATGTACATGCATTTTCTTTGTATTGTTTTTAATATTGTGATGGAAAATAAATACCAATACCAATACCAATATAAGTATATTTATTATATAGATATAAGTAATAACATAATTTCCACTTCTTTAAATATACAATCAGTTTTTCTCTCATATTGTATTCATATAGTCAGTTTTCCATTCATCTACTCATATTCTTCTGAAATAATACCTTATAACGACACCTTCGTGCAATTTAATACTCAACTCTCTGATTATTTATTTTTAATGATTTGCTGTCACGAGCATTTGATTGTGTGTTTTCATTCATATGACTTCCTTAGCTATTTTACCCATTCATTTCCTTGTCTTTTATCTCTTTTTTCATGATCACGTATCTTGCTATATTTGATTACTGTTATCATTTTTTTAATCTGGAAAGTACCTTTTTCTGCATTCCTAGACATGTGTTGGTTTTACTGGATGTCTGAAATAATACATGTGTGTTTTTATTCATATTTACTTCCTTAACTATAATTTTACCCATTCATTTCCTTGTCTTTTATCTCTTTTTTCATGATCACGTATCTTGATATATTTGATTACTGTTATCGAATTTTTTTTTATCGGGAAAGCACCTTCTTGCCGCATTCCTAGACATGTCTTGTTTTGACTGAATGTCTGAATTAATACAATACGAAACTAATAATAATAAAATTACAAAAACGTTAAAACCAAAAGATACTTTTTTTCGTGCACACCTATAAACTTGCTTTATTGTCTAACTTGAAATGGTTGCTGAAACGGATATATCGGAGATACAGGAGATATTTTAAGGAATAAAATGACAAGAATGTCTTATCGATTCTACGATTTTACATACATCTCTGATGGAATAAAAGATATGTATGTTAATGACATTTTTCATATTTCCTTCCTTTGTTTTATTTTACATGTTCTTTTCTAATTTCCACTCCCTCGTTTGAATTTTATTGACACATATCAATATGAATAGAAATAAATGATTGTAATTAAAAACATGGACAAATGAAAAGAAAAACGGTTTACTAGCTAAGGAAGAAGTAGAAAAGATAACGAATGGATAGAAAGAAATTATAGGTGATTGAAATGAACGATGAGAGCCGGAAAATAGGACGGAGAAGTGTCAAGCGACTAAATATTTAATTTTGCTTTGTTAAACTTCATGATAATATAAATTTCTTTATCGTCAAGGTGTCCTTTAGGTTTGATAAAAAAAACCACTTAATTTCCAAAATTGATTTTCTGCGAAATTATGTATAGCACAATCTAATCTGTTTGTTTTCCAGATATTGACAATACTGACAGATGTCTGATAATACATGTATGTCAAGCATCTTTCGGATGACATGCAAATACCATTCTCAATGCAAATATCATAAACATACAAAACTTTGGATCGTTATCTATAAAACTATCCTGAAAATTACAATGGAACGCGCTATAATTATGAAGAAAATAGAACGAAAGGCAAAGTATCCAGTTTATTCAAGATTGCGAATGGAAAACAATTCCAAGAAGACAAGTTACAGAAAGTCTAATGTAATTACACAATATGGTAATCACAGGAAGGACAAAAATGAAAAGTGTATTCCTCTTTATTGTGCGATTTTCCTTGCAGTAGTCTGCGTAGATGATAAGAGAAAGAGAGGGTATATAAGGAATGGTGGAAGAGTGTGAGAAGGGAGGTCAGAGTAGGTGAGAGAGAGAGAGAGAGAGAGAGAGAGGGGGGAGAGAGAAAGAAGAAAGAGAGAGAGATGGAGAGAGAGAGAAAGATAGAGAGAGAGAGAGAGAGAGAGAGGTCCTAAATAACTATGGAGTTCTGCCGAGCTTGGAACTTTGTTACATTTTTGATGGCATAGTTCATCCAACCTACTTTTCACTGCATTTCATTTTCTATTTTCTTCTTGCTTTGCAGCCTATCACGAAGATCGGTTTTGAACGCAGGCACACTCAGTGGCGGATCCAGGGGGGGCCGGCCCACCCCCCCCCTCCCCCCTTGAGAAAAAAAATCATGTAAAAACACGTGATTTTTACCTTTTTGAGGGGTTGGGCCCCCCTCCCCCCCCCCCCCCCCCTGGCGCTCAAGGGGGGGGTGCATATTTTTTAATTTTTGGCCGGCGCGTTTTTCAAATTTTCGGGAGCAAAAAAAAAAAATAGTGCTCACTACCCCTATTAACTAACTAATCCTGATGAGGTTTTAATCACAATCTCATAATGAAAGAGTGAATAAGACCTTTAATATGTGACTAAATGAGAGATAAACTGTAAATGCGAGCGAGTGCAGATTTTTTTTTTCTATCCAGAAACAATTGCTCTCACTCTTTGCTTTAATAGAGGGACACGTGTAAGGGGGAAAAGATAAGGGGTACGTGTCATATAAAAGAGCCACATAACAGAGGTAAAAGGAGTACTCCTAAAAGGGGATAGATGCACTCAACGCACTTTTCAAAGTAAAAGGGGCAAATACCAGACTTGGATAGGGGCACTTATCAGAGGCGAAAAGGGGGCATTTTTAAGAAAGGGGGAGGGGCATTTATTACAAAGGGAAAATGGGCACCTATCACAACGGAAAAGGGCACTTATTAGATAGAAAAGGGACACTCATAAAAAAAAGGAAGGGGCACTTTTCACACCTGAAAAGTGACTATCATCAGAGGTGATAAGGGGGACTTATACAAAAGGGAAAGGGGTAATTATTACAAAAGAAAAGGAGCACTTGTCCTACGTATAAAGGGGCACATTTAGGAAAAATGAAAAGGTTGGGGCACTATGATCCCCCTTGCCCCCCCCCCCCAATCATCGCCACTGATTTGGACTAAACCAAGTCCAACTCAGTGTTCAAACTTTTAATAGAAGAGTAGCAATCCTAAAGGTGCATCAGTCAGGCAACCAGTAACATATCCATAACGTTTATGCTACATTATATTCATTTCAAAAAATTAACTAAGATTAAAAGATATGGCCTGGCGTGTTCGTTATTAAAGAGTAACAAAGAAGATTTAAAAAAATTAACGATTTTAATCAACTGACATATCGCAATCCAATCAAATTAATCATAATGACTTCTCAGAATAATATGATAACTGTTTGAATTAATATCGGTCATTTATGTTTGCTTAAACTTGTGCCAATTAGATACTGATAAAACTTATTATCAAATACGTAGCCGAGAGGCAAATGACCGATACTATCTTATTCGTAGCTCATATAAAATCAGATAAGATGAATTATTTAATCATTCTCCTTTTCTCTCATCATAACTAAAACAATCAGTTTAAAATAGGGGCGTTCTCTATTCGTTCCACGTGATCGATTATCGGGGGGGGGGTGTGATCAGCTGATATTGGTGATTAAAAAAAACAGTAGCCTAGAAAGGGTTCAATTAACATCACGTGTTCAGTCATTATTGTCAAACATGGGTATTAATGGAAGAGAAAACGGTTATGATGCTGTTTGTTTTGTTTACTCTATTTCGGTGCTTGAGAGTTGAACATTCTTTTGAAACTTTATCACAATTGTTATCTTCATACTCAGGATATTTACTAAAAGAATTCAAAAGTTCTCAATATTATCGTTCTAAGAAATGCAAATACTGTCAAGTTAAATAAATTGATGTCCTTAAGATATTTTCTTTACCCGATTATTTATAGGAAATTATAAAGTGAATCATTAACGATTTCATTTTGTTACTAAGAGGTTAATCATCACTCTTAAATGCTTGTACATCGTAAGCTGCATGTCACTTCTTAGTTGCAGACAGTAAACTGCACCCGGTTAGAACTGAAGCTCTGAAATTTGCTTTGACGTTACATAGCGTCTATGAATTTATAGCATTTTTTCTTCTACAAAGTGTCAACTGGCAATCGTACTTGAACGGCAAAAATCTTCGAAATATACAGATTCAGCAGGTAAGCTTTGTTTCCCATTATAGATATAAGAAATGTTATCCTCTTTTCTCTACTCAGAATATGTAAAGTATACAAGATAATACAGAAATAGAAATAAAATACTTATAGGCCTGCTTGCAATCCTGGCATTACCTAGCAATGGAGTGTGTCGGACAGTAATGGCCCTTTCCACATTCTGTGTATTTGTTAGGATGGACAGTTCACTCATTCGTTGTTACGGGGGCAGTTTATATGGGCCCTTAATTCTTAATCTCTATTTATTTGTTCAGGAGTCACTATTTGGCAAATAACATATTTCCCCTCTCTTTTCTCTAATCAGAATCTATTTCAACACACTTTTACCGAGGCTCGTGAACACATAAAGATGGGTTGGCGAGATGTAAGTTCATTATCTCTAAGTCGAATAATATTATTTATTTCATTTGAATATAGTCAGTAGCGGGTGCTCCGTTAGACAGTCAGCCCACTAGACCGACAGTGTCGGTCTAGTAACCCGTAGAAAGTTGTCAGAAAGCACGCGAGGCTTTAGCGACAGTCTCACATTTAGCCACTTAATGAATTCAAATATTTCTAAAGCGTTTATATTCTGTGCGTCAGGGTTCACTTAGAATTCATTTGCTTTGTATATATTATTTATTTACCTTAATGGTAGAAGATGTTTTTTTTTTCCAATAATAAACAGCATTCATTTATGAATCAAAACGCCCGCTGGCATGTAAGGATTTTGGTAAGACCGTTATACATGTTTATAATGTTGATTATGATGGTGGTGATGATAACTTATTTATTTATTCATTCATTTATTTATTTGTTTATTTATTTATTTATTTATTTTTTTTATTTATTTATTTATTTATTTTTTTTTTTTTTGCTTATTCATTTCCAAAATATATTTATTTAAGAATTTACAAAATGAATAGGTAACATGAATGACATTGCAATGTGCAAATGGATAGCCATACTGAGCTGTTCTACACAGTAAAAACGCTGTTTAAAAAAGTGATGTTCACTTACAGTTGTACACTATCTTAAACAACAGTTGATCAAATTGTAAACAATGTTGCTCGAAACAGAAGTAATTTTGTTAAACATTCGTTGTTTAAAATTTAATGACTGCTATATTTACTATACGAGAGCTTTTAGACAGTGTTGTTTACATATGACGTCATGTGTCTCGTGCCAGTTAAGTGCGTGTTGGCTAAAGGCTTTATTTCACATTGTTATGTTTAGAAACAGGTTCCTTGAAACTAACATGCAATTGAAATTGACATGCCACTTAGAAATGCAGTGCAGCTGTTAAGGCACAGCTCATTGTTATTCATATTAGATGCATACACACAATGCAAGTGTATGCAAGGGTCTTTTGCTGACTACACAGATTGATACATATGTAAAAGCACATGGACATTGAGTCTGGATTAAACTACCAAAGCAACCACACGTGTTTCTGCAGGCTTCATTTTGTTTGTCTCTATACTTACATTTATTTAGCTTAATAGTTATTACTTTCCAACCCACAACACAACATCATGGCCGACCAAGCTACCGACGCGCTTCTAAGTGACTGGGGATTCAACCCGGTGGGGTCACTCCCCTGCAAAGAGTGACACGTATGACCGTTACCACCGGGATTCAATGGCTTAATTGAAATCACTTTTCTATTAACCACTTTGAAGTTTTTAATTTATAGCGTAAGTTCACAGTTAAAATTTTCGGTATCTGTACGCAAATGTCAGAATACAGGTAGACTTAAAATCGTCGCGTCATGCAGTGCGGCACTGATCGCGCACTCGGTTATAACGTGTGCTAAATTCCTTGCCATAGGGATTGCATGCATCCCTATATATGCAGTTTATACGTGCGTGCATGCGCGCTCATGCAAAATGGGCACTGTTTTGGCGCTAATTCATGAATTGCAGAATTACCCTAGTCTTCATATACCTATATAGAGACCCAGAAGTAGTGGTGCACTTATTCAGAGTATCAAACCCAAATTATACCCCATTATACAACCCTTTTGTTGTAAACAACCCCCACTGAACAACAGCTCCTTTTTAAACAACTTTCTTTAAACAACCCAGTTGGTTTAAACAACCCCAACTGAACAACAGCTCCATTTTAAACAACTTTCTTTAAGCAACCCAGTTGGTGTAAACAACCCCCACTGAACAACAGCTCCTTTTTAAACAACTTTCTTTAAACAACCCAGTTGGTGTAAACAACCCCCACTGAACAACAGCTCCTTTTTAAACAACTTTCTTTAAACAACCCAGTTGGTGTAAACAACCTCCACTGAACAACAGCTCCGTTTTAAACAACCGTCTTTAAACAACACCGGTTGTTTAAATTGTGATTTTAAACAAGTTGTTCAAAATGTTGATCAACTAAGTGTTTAAACTTTAAACAACTCGAGTTGCTTAACATTTTAAACAACTCTTAGATCAGGTCACCCGTTAATCAAGAGTTGTTTAAACTTTTAAACAACTTGTTCACAAAAATTTTAACTGTGTACCTACAGGGGTCATATATAATGATAAAACATACAAGAGACTATAATTATAAAATTGACCCCCACTTGTATAAATTGTACACATTTCTTGGGTAATGTTATTTCGTGCGAATTGTAAGCTTCATCTTAAAACTGTTTAAAGAGTAGAGCACCACAACAAAGGCGAGGCTTACAAAACCATGTGATTTTACCACTTGGCACTTAGCATATATATATCTCTTAATTCGAGCCTTTTAAATAATTCCATTTCATGTCGTTTCCTCCCGTTTTCTCTAGAAAATTAAACGCTTGGGATCCCGTTTCGTAGAGAGACTGATCGAGGCGATTTTCGATTACATCGTCGCCAAAGTACAGAAGAAGCCCGTTAAATGGAAGGATGATGGTGAAATGAACCGTTATGCATTAAAGACAATTATGGGGACCATTGATGATCGTCTGTGTAGCTCGCCTGTCTAAATTGTAATGGTTGTGATAAACAGTATATCGGAGAGACTGGAGATATTTTGAGGAATAGAATGACAATCCATTGTCAACACATAAGAGATTAAAAAAATATCAAATCGTAAATGTGAGTAATAATATATCAAGGTTTGCAAAAGGAATGAATCCAGAATTTTGATGCCATACCTTTTTATAAAATGAGGACAGAAAAAGAAACTAAACGTAAGATTAAAGAAAAATATTTTATCAATGAATTCAGCCAGAACTGAACAAGCCTTATAGTTCAAAGAATGATGCAGCTGTTTTATGAATTTACATTAATAATGTCTTTTTATGATACGTGCTTTTAGCTGATATATCAGGAATGTCGTGGTCGAGTGGTTTAAGGCGCTTGACTGGAGATGTGAAGGTCGAGGGTTCGAATCCCGACACGGCGCTAATATCCTTTGGCAAGATATTTACCTGCACTTGCTACTCTCCACCCAGGTGTTAAATCGGTAGGATGCGAAAGTTCATGTGGTTGGATTGGATGAGCAAGACGTTAGTGTGCGCTTGTAAAATGGCGACTGGCTGGAATGCTCCCCAGGGAGTGGCAAATGTGCATACATTGTGTGCGGGTACGGATCCGATGACCGGGGTAATAATTTTATTTGTAAAGCGCTTAGGCACATCGTTGTATCGATGTATTGGGCGCTATATAAAAGCGGATTATTGTTATTATCATTAACAAAAACACATTACATGTATAATGAAGAAGCCTACAAATGGAGATAGAGATGATTTTAACCATTAATTTGTAACAATACGTAATAAGATAATTCCGTTGCCAAACAACGTGCCATTTTAACGCAATGCACCTAATACGTATTTCGCTTGGGGATGAGTTTCATTACTTGTTTGTATTCCCTGCCTTCGTTCAGACAGAAAATTGTTCATCGATAAATATTTATTGAATGACCAAATACACTCAAAATGGATCAGCTTTTTAATTCCAAAAATATTCTGTCGGTAAATAATGATTCATTTTCATTAATTTAAGTATGTGCAAAAAACATGTTATGAGTTCAATATTAACGTTATGTTTCTCTTTTTTGTCTTATATCAAATTATTAAATTGATATCAAGAATATTTTCAGTAATTCATTAATTCGAATATCAATTTACTGATGCCAGAGACTTTCTTCTTTTTCAATTGCTTCCATTAATTTCGTCATTAATTATCGTAGTAGTTATTATTATCGTTTTGTTTTTAATTATCATAATTATTATTATCAATATTGTAATTATTATTATTATTATCATTATCATCATAATTTTTCTCACTATTGTCGATAGTGTTATTTTGTATTGATTAACATTAATTCGATTTGTATTGTATATTTTACAGTGTTAAATTGACAAATTAAAACTGATTCAACTCTTCTCCAAAACCCCAATGTGGGTGACATGAGAATAAATTGTCATTGTCATTGTGTCTCTATTTTGCCTCGATCAGCACTCCAAAAAAAAAAACTTTTTTTTTTCCCCCTCTCGATCTTCCTCCTTTCTGTGACTCTGTGTGCCTCCACGAGCACTCCAAAAAATGTGTCTCTTTTTTTTTCTTTCTCGATTTTCCTTTACTCACTTCTTTCCCTCTTTCTCGGCTTTTCTCTCCCTCCCACCCCTTCCCAACCCCTTCCACCCCCTCTCCCTCTCTCTCTCCCTCTCCCCCTCTCCCTCTCTCTCCCTCCCTCTCTCCCTCCCTCTCTCCATCTCTCTGTCTCTCTCTTTCTCTCTTGCTCTCTCTTTCTCTCTCTTTCCCCCCTCTCTCTCTCTCTCTCTCTCTCTCTCACTCACTCTCACTCTCTCTTTCTGCACATTAGCCATAATAGTTGTGAAGCGCATGCGCATCTACTTATACAGCAACCCCCACATTCTTGGCATATTTGGAATATCTTGATTAGCTCACATCCACGGAACCCCCTGGTGGTATGTTTCACATAAAATTATGCTCATTTCAACATCTATATGCTGTATGGTGTGTGTATGTTCTCATGAGCCAATTGGAAACTGAATATGTTTCTTCATCAAAGTATATTTCTGATGTTATGATTGTTCTTTAATTCTGCATGTATTATGTGATTTTCTTTCGAATTTTATCTACCCACTGCTATGTTACCCCCACCATGAATCTTTTGATATTCGTAAAATTGATCTGTTCTATATTCCAAATGGTACATCCTTAGCAGCAAATATTTTTTGTCTCATTCTTTTTTTCTCCCTTCTTCCTGCTTCTCCTCCTCTAACAAGAGAAAATATGAATTTATTTTTTGTTTAATTAAAAAAGAATAAAAACTCAGTTTTATACTCATAGGACTTAACGTGTGTGTTTCGATTTGTAGATCAAAAGATACATGATTTGGACAGAGGAAAGGGAGGAACGTGGAGAGAAAGAAAGAGACAGAGATATTGGGAGAAAGGGAGAGGGGGAAGAGAGAGAGAGGGGGGGACAGTGGATAAAGACGTATGGACAAAGAAGGAAGGAAAAGGGGAGCAGAACAAGAAAGTGAAAAAAAGAAAGAATGAGATAGAGAGAGAGAGAGAGAGAGAGAATTAGAGAGACAGGGGTAGGGTAGGAGAGAGAGAATTAGAGAGAGGGAGAGGGATGGGATGATGAGGGATCGCTTCCTGCCCCCCCCCCCCCTCCCCCCCCCCCCCCCCCCCTGCATGCAATCCATCGAGCATCCTGATACGCCGTGGAAGCTGTTGTGAAGAGGTTGTAGTCAATGGATTCCTGCGGTTCCTCACTGCATTCTCAATTGACTATTGTGTCTAGAACACTGCCGACATCATCGCCGCATCCATGACAGGACTTAAAGGGCTCGTCTTCAACTTGACCGAGAGTTAGATGGCCTTTAAGATCCCAACTCTCGAACGAATCACATTCGAATGTCTGTCTTCATCATAATCTCCAATCATTTACATTATCAGGTTTCGTGCGTAAGCCACTGGAGGACCGATTTAGCTGGCGAGAAACCAAGACGAATGAAAGTTCTCTCGACCTTCTTCGACTACCACCATTTTCTCTCGGTCGTCATTTATCGGTCGTCATTTTTTTGTCGTTGAAACAGAAGCCAAACTCGAACTAAAAACATTGGGTAGGTTTGTCACTAAGCGTGGGCCATTCAGGCCCTCGCTTTTAAAAAACAAGCCGTGAAAATTTGCACTGGTTTCTTCTATCGACCCGCAAAGATAGAGAAAGATGGAGCTACAGTGATGCGTTTTGGAGGTGACTCGCCTTTTACAAGAGCACACTCCATCCCAACGACGAAACTTCTGGACTACCTATATCCAGCTGTGTTTGAATCGTTGATGTGTCTGACTCAGTTACCAACACAACTTTCCTTGGGGTTGTGTCTAGGATTGTGTTTATCATCATGCTTGCTTGGTCTTGACTTGTTGGGTTCTATCTATCTCATCTTCATGGTTACATAAGGAGTTATCTGTATTTGGGATATGTCTTATAACATAGAAGAGAGACGGAGGCGGAGAGCAGAGAGACAGAAAGAAAGAGAGGTAGGTTTGTAAAATATTAATCAGACTTAATGATACTACTCTTTATAAGAGCATAATCGTGCATTTTATTTAGGTTCCTAATATCTTACATTGTTTTTATATTGTCTGTCGTATCTACATTTCCCATGAAGCACTTAGCTAATTTACCGTGCGTTATACTTTATTAAAGTTTATCTACTGGTGTTGTGTTGTTACTCTACAGTTTGTATGATAGTTTTTAATGTAGAAGTGGAAGAAATAAGCTTCAAACTATAGAGTATCAATGTTTTTATCCCAATTTTGTCATACCCACCCCCAAACAAAAAATAAATATTTTGAAAAGCTTGAGGGCAATGGATCATAATGTAATCTATACCAGACACACGTCGAATTATCCAGGTCAAATCCATCATCTTATAAGACATCTTTCAGATAATCATCTGCTTGATGAAATCAAGCAATACTGGCTCAGTGTGAAATTTGATGTTGGTTTCGAATCCATTTGTATCTATTGTTTTATCTACGCCCATTTTTCTTACTGTATATTCATAATGTTACTTATTTTCCAATCTTGTTTTTAATCAACTTATTATCCGTGTTTTATTGTTAACGCTTAAATAATAAATTCACCAGTTCTTTTATTCTATTTAAAATAATATATGCCTGTTTACTTAATTTTCTATAATATTTAATTCCATTTACATATGTTAGTCTATATGCAATGTAGTAATGAGTTATGACGCATATAGTATTATAATTTGAGGGGCATAAAGAGAAAACACGTGGGAGCGATTACAAACAACACTGGTACATCACCAAAAAATATGTAATAGCTGTCCTGTGCTTTCATCAGTTGATGATCTTGTGGTTGTTGTTGTTATTGTTGTTTTCCTTCACGCTTTGCACAGAATCCGTTTAAATAATATCCAGCATTTTCAGGCAGTGATGGCAAAGAAAAACGGAATGAGACTGAGGGAGAAAATAAAGAAGATTATTATATAGAGATTAATGAGAGAGAGCGGGGGAAGGAGGGAGGGAGTGAGAAGGAGAGAGAGAAAGAGAGAGAGAGAGAGAGAGAAGAGAGAGAGAGAGAGATGCATTCAACAATGCGTGTCAACATTAGCAATGAGTTAAAAGAACCTGGATTTTGCTAAAATACTTTGCTTTCTAAGGCACTTTACTGTCGATAAATTTATTACTGCTATATTTTCAAATTTGCAATATATCTGTGTAAATCCACTCACATTAAATCGATTTGAAATTTAATTACTATCAATCACACTCTAAGCACATTCAACATCTTTACCTTGTTAAACAAATCCATCTTTAAATAGCTAAAGATTCTACAAAATATCGACTTAAATATGTCTTTTGTTTTTATGGAAGACTCTTTATTTAGTACTTAATAACGGAATTATCATCACAAGAGGTCACTTAATCACATAATACGTTGCATCTTGCACGAAATAAGATGTATGTGATGTGTTGGTGTTGTTGAAGAGATGAAAGTTTTCTTAATGCAATTACTATTTCTAATTTTGTAAATTCCTCAAATAGAAATTCGTCTTTTAATATTTCCACATCTACCCAAGATAACAATAACGTAGACTTATTGTGCATGCGTGTATAGGCACGGAGGCATGGATGCCTATTGGTAACTGGCTGATTCGCCACTCTACCTTTAACTCACCATTGAAATAAAAGCAGCAAACCCAAGCTATAGCAAATAGTGCTGGGCATCATGGTGTACTAAACTGTGCCTCCCACTGAGTGAGTGGTATCGAGGTTTACGTTGTTTTGTGTGACTCATTAGGACTGCATTCTGTGAGGAAAATTACTGACCAATAAATTGGTGCCTTCTGACATCGTTCTTGGTTGAAAGA